AAAAAAATGTTTAAAAATCCGGAAAAAAACTATGTTATGCAGAAAAATAAACTGAACAACATCGAAATTCTTTACCAAATTTAAAATAAAATTTTAAATTAAGAAATATAGTCAAATATTTTATTATTATTATTTTTTCTTTTCTTTTCTTTTTGGCCCGGCCGGGCAAGTGGACCCGGGCCACTCTGGTAGCCTAGGTAACCACTGCATCTCCACCAAGGACAGGTCGTGAGGGGGGAAGTAGGTGGGCGTGAGGGGATTATTGCCTCGATTTTAGTCCAGTCCCAAAAGCACACTGTTACAGGTGTTTGATTTGTCTGGGGCACGTAGTGGTGGTTTAACTAAAACGTAGTGAAGGCAATTAACTTGAATTAAGACAAGGGACCGTCACACCTGCCCCAGAGAAAGGGCCCGGCCCCCCGGGATGGAACCGTCACAGACTCCCAGAGCGCAGGGTTTCAGACAAAGCAATTTGGTCCCAAAGTGAAACTGAGACATTATAAACAGGGGAGCTTACTATTGGATGCTTCTCATATCATCTCCAATGGTCGGCCCCCGGATCATTTTTGGAGGGGAAAAAAGAAAAAGAAACTGAGGGTCACTGGAACTTGCCTGCACGTGGTCTGGGACTCTCTGGCCCAATGACATATGAAATCCCGGGTGTCATCAGGACGGGAGGGTGGTGCAATGCGAGGCAGGCATAAGACGTGGATCTTGTCCAGTGACACTGAATTCTCATGGGTCAGTTTGAGAGTATTGTTGGATGGCCATTCAGCCCCAAAGAGGTGGCTTCGGGCCACAAGTAGGGAAGCATAAGGGGCATGAAAATGAGAAAAAGTCCCAACTTCAGTGGGAAAACTCCCCTTTGTGCTCTTACAAACAGTTGATTTGTCGCCGCCACAGGATCAGAAAAGGGGTCAGTTAAAAAAAAAAAAAAAAAAAAAAAACGAGGAAATCACAACACAGACACAGCAACACACCAGCGCAAACATGGCTCAAACATACCACCGCCGTTACAGCGCAGCAGCGGCTACGAGCACATCCCCCCCATGCAGCTCAACCCAGACTGGATCCAACGTGGACCACGAGACCCTGCGATTCCTAATGGAGGCCCCAAAAATCAAGGGCGAGAAAGTCACAATCAAAGTCAGGAACTGCAAGGACAACACAGACGAAGAGGTGACCGCCTGGGCTTACCCAAAAGACAAAATCGCAGACATGAACGCGACCTACGAGAAGCACGCACTCATCTTCTCCTTCTCCAATGCTGGAGCGAGACTGTCCCCAATCGAGAAAAGGAAATGGATGGTAAAAAACATCCAGCAACACGAAAACATCAAAACGAATGTGGACAAATTCGCCATGCTCGGCCTGGGTAGAACCTCGATGATCGTTGTTTTCAAAGATGGTGAGCAGGCAACACACCTATTGGAAAAATGTGAGACCCTGAACTGCCAGGGATCTGTCTGGACACAATCAAGATGGAAGGCAGAGACAGCCCAACGAGCGGAAGTCTCGCCGGCCGCCTCCTACAAGAACCGACTGTTGAGGGAGCAATTCTGGGTCCAATTCGACAACATCCCACCCAGAGGCCACCCTCTCATTAAGGATCGAGTAGAGAATGAATACCCGGCAAACAAAGTAGTGAAGTGGGTCCTTCCCACCCCCGACTTCCTCCACCCCCACATTGATTCCGTCACAACAATCTTGGA